ATATATATATATATATATATATATATATATATATATATTGATAGAATCTTGAAGGATATAACAATCCTGCACAATGAAAAAGGATCGTCCTAAAGCGCCTATAACTTGTAGCGGCTATGTTACATTTATTTACAACTTGTTTGTTCTCCTTATTGGTGCCTGCATTGCCAGTACTGCTCTCGCTACTATACTCTTCCTGAAGAATCTAGATTTTGACAAATTTTTCATTAAAATGACTTGGTACGTCTTTGGCACCGGAGTTGGTGTATGTTTAGTTTCTGTCTTTGCTTTCGTTGGAGTTTGTCGACGTGTTGGTTGTTGTCTCACTCTTGTAAGTCTCATTTCAATTTCTTCTATTCGCCATTTTTTTCTAAGCATTTTTTTGGAACTTGCGCAATGATGGCGGCTCTGGTTCTTGCTGGAATTTTCGCCCTTGTCTACTCTAACGAAGTACGAATTTTCCTATCGGCATATAAATAACTCAAATTTTTAGTATATTGAAAGCATTCAGTCAGCTCTCACAAAAATTGTTGGGGCAATGAATAAGCAAAACGTATCGAATACTATTATGTTAAAATTCCAATCCATGGTAAGAAATTGTGTTTTTTCCTTGTTTCTGACTCTAAATCAAGCTGCATTGTTGTGGAGCTGATAGTTTTAAGGATTACGATGCACCAACGCTATTTTGTTGTGAGGGAACAAAAAATTGCACTAAGTATCTTGAAGAAGAAGTAAGTTGTCACTTTCAAAAGTTTGCAAGTATCACTCGTAAATGATACATTTTTTCTCTCAAATGCTATTTTCGTCTTATTTAGGGATGCAACAAAGTCCTCGGCAAATTCTTAGACGCATATGAAATTACAATTGGAGTCGTGATGATTATTAGTGGACTACTTATGGGCATACCTGCCTATTTGGCTTGTCGCACCAAGAAAAATTTCGTAGCCAGCAAATGAAAATGATTTTCTAAAAATCCTTCCTTTACACCAACGAAAATGGCTTCATTCCTCTGTGCTATTCTCTCCTATTTATGGACATGCTTTAATTCAAAAGCGATTTATAAAAATATACGCTTATTTATACCAGGAAGATGATGCGTTTGTTATGCTCTTTTTCTTAATGACTAAATTTAAAAAATAAAATTGTCGCTACTTGACTAACTTGCTTATTAAACAAATCGGTTGATTTCAAACGTGTTAAAGGACTCACATGTTTGCGCTATTAAATTGCCATGAAGTAGGCGAGAGTATTGTGAATTTCAAATGTTAATCTAAGTGTAAGGCTGCATCTGTGGTCAACAATCTTTCATTTTCAGGCTTAAACTTCAATTCAATTACTGATTTTCACTTCAGATGTGCTCCTGAGTTCCAACGGAAACAGGTTATTTATTAGATTATTATTCACTTCAGACTACTTTAATTCATACAGTTATGTGATAACAGAGTTTTCCAGTCCATAATTCCTCATTTAGGGGTGATAGTTGGAATCTTCTCGAACATGTATTCTTATCAAATGACAGGCTTCATGTCAGTTATAATTACCCCTTTAGTTGTCATCGGGATTCACAGAGGAGAGTAATA